TATTTTCGTTAATCGGTTTATTTGCAGTATACAATAATAATAATAATAATAATATAATTAGATAATTAACATATCTGAAACGCAACGAATTTATGCATTATTAGTTTCTATCTATTTTTATTGGTATAGTTTATTAATTCTGAACACATAAATCGCCGTAGTAAGGAAACATCATTCAGCTTGATAAATGACAAAATAAGCTTTTATTAAGATGTTGATTAATACTAGCTGAGAGAATTGTGGAAATAATTATTAATAGTAGCTATTAATAGCGGTGTTATATTTCTGACTGTTGCGAATATGACTTTTGCGTTTGTGCGTGCACGAAATCGATATGCAAACACGAATCCTGATGGCAAGACCAGAGAGCGATGCCGGTATAGTCGTCGGCGGTTCGCAAACGTAATGCGTAGGCCCCTGTGCGAATGTTTGCGTAACAACCGCGGCGGTGGTTTGCTGCCACCGGCGACGATTGACTTGTCTAAATAACGGCACCTGTTTCGTTCTATCGAAAATAATTACTCGGCAAATAACACGGGGCGAGTTTCGTTCCCTGTGTCGAGATTGAGCGATAATTCGTTAACCACACGAAACATGACTTACTTCTGATTGTACTTAATCTTAAAAATACATACTTCCCAATACGATCAGTATTAAACTGCACACTTACGCAAGGGGTCAAGATTTTCGGTTATATCTGTACATGTATTAGAGTATCACGGGCGAAATAATTGATAAAGTATAATCGATGTAAGAAATAATTATGCATAATTGAACGTTGAGAGAAATTCACGTGAATTGACACCGCCGCCACTTTTGTTGTTCATGACACATTTCAATCAACGTAGAAGCGAGCTGTATTCACATAAACCTGGAACCAGAAATCCATTTTACTTTCCTCATTGTCGTGTTATCTGGACATGCCTGCGTGCTCTCGCATCAATCGATGGGCCGCCATTCACTGAACACAAGAGATGGTAAATAACTTCTTTATTGGTAAAAGTGAACTTGCCTTGGTTCTCACACCCGGACCTTCAATTCGGAATGTCATTGTGCAGTTTATGAATCGAACAGTTCTGTTTGCTTCTGTGTGCTGTTCTGTTTGCTGGAAGCAGTGAGCGCCCAATAGGGACAAAGCTAACACAGGGAGAATCTGTGTGGATACATCGATCTAACGATCCATCTACAGTCGGTATAGCTTTACCAATTTTCGTGGATACAAGGGAATTTAATTCGCAGTTTAGTATATACGGGCTTTCTCTAAGAGCGCGATTAGTATTTCAAATGGAGAAGCGAGATAAGAAACATGATTACTTTGAAGTAACAATTGAATTATTAAATCGATAGAAATTCCAAGTTATACACTAAAATCCTTCAAGATAATAATTTTAATTTAAAAGAAAAAGATACTGAATTAATCCAATTATAATTCGGAATTGATATAATCCTAGTAAAGTTACGCGTTGAAAGATGAGCGCGAGAGCGTGAAGTGATTCACATTCCGACCAAGCAATTTCGCTTTCGCCATTCGTAACGCGGGCTTTTCTTTGTTGTATAATCTTAATGAGAAGACGGTTTTAATATCTTCTTTTATACAAATACAAAAAGTACTAACATTAGACACTAATATTGAGCAAATATTTTATTTTAATAACAAAATGTAACTTTTATATTTAAATTAGTGACCATTTTATTAAAAAAGATCGATGGATGACATGGGGACTTAAGAGGCAACAAAGATAATTGAATAATATCGTATTGACTAACATTATATGATAATAACCGAAATATAATCGCATGCCGCGCCGAAGGAAAATTTGTCCTCGAATATTAATTTTATTAGGCATGTAAATAGCCATTGAGTCTGATTGTGAGGAAAATCTGGCTGAATGTGTAATGAAATTAATAACTGTTTTATTAATGCATTCTAATGACTCTTGTGGAAATTGAATGACAGTAAATGTAATCGGATAACGCCACAATGTTGACTAACAAATTGCAGCTGATAATTAACGAAATGCATGTCTTTTTGTATGAAAATTTATCTGATAGTATTTAGTTGGCGAAACGCGAAAGCAGTGATTGAATTAATGACCGTTTTATTAATGAGGAATATTGTGGGTTTCGTGACGCATGATGATAGAGATCTGATAACGTTGATTAACATAATGTGAACAATTAGAGAAATATGATGGTGAAAAATGAAGACGTTTTAAGTAATTAATTAAATGGTTTTGTTTATTTAATAATTTCAAGAATGTTTATTAAAAGTAGGCACTAAATTGGGATTGGTAACTAAAAGTATCAATATTTTCTTCACAATCTCGTACATACGTATATAATAATTGTAGAATTAAGTTTTCTCTCGAGAAGAAATAAGATGATACTACCTACAAATTGCTATCTTTTAACAATTTTATTAATATTTATTATTAATATTTATTAACCTCTTATAATAATTTTATAATACTTCTAGTAATATTGAACTTATTTCAATTTTTTTTTACTTTACTCGGTATTATTTCTGACTCATTTTATATGACGATGATATCGAATACCTTGTGGTCATTGTGTGGTGTTAATTGAAGGATCCACGCATACTTTCCTCGTTCCCGATATCCGAAATCCCGTGCATTCCAAGGCCAGCAGGTACTAATGAAGTCGTGAGAGGTCGGTCGGGAATTGTGACGCGGTCGGGCGCGCTCACGGGCCCGCGGGTGTGGGAAAAGGGGGGACGGCAGATGATTTAGATTCCACCTAAACGATCTGTCTAAGCCGGTCTGACGGCTCGGCGTTCAGGTCAAGTTCATCGCCGTTCACTTGGTATAATGGATTTAATGAGAAGGTAGCCACCTCCGCACCCCGACGTGTCAGGACTTACCCGGTTTCATCGGGTCAGAATAGGAGGGGAGGAGAGGGGGAGAGGTTCTGCATCCTTCTTCATCGCTTCCTATTTGCAGAAGTGCGCACGCCTGACGAAGGGCGTTTAAGGTGATCCTCCTGGGATCAGAAACAATAGGCATGCCTCTCGAGAGGATAATGACGGTGAAAATTGTCAGTTTGTCGTGCATGGGTCCCTAATCACTCTTCTCGCGGCTTGTATCTTGTTATCATGCATGTCGAGGGGCATGCTACTGTGGCTCGCGTTCTTTTTATCCAGTCACCGGCCGCAAGCGGGTTAACGACGCCGCCGTGACGTGTAACTATTCATTACGTCTTTTGGCGAGATACTCCTCTATCCATTTTAAAATGACATGAACCCTTTCGGGATTTAGATTATATGTTTTCGACAGGAATGATAAAAAGAAGGTGTTGAAAATATTTTTTCATCTCTTTATAAAGTAGATTTATGTTTTATTTGGAATTGTTTTTTTACGTTATTTAGATGTTCTTTCTTCAAATTGTACTAGTATCTCATAAATTGTTCCAAAATGTTTTAAAAATATTTCATCTAACAAGCCTTCGCACAAATCTTTTCTGAAATAAATTAAATAAGAATATCTTGAAATAATTAATCAGGGGAGTTTGTAAATGTTTTTCAAATATTTTTAAGAAGTTATATATTTAACTTTTCTAAAGCATTTTCTAATTTCTAAAAAACTTTTACATTTTGAATATCTTTAATAGGTACACTTCTCGATATATTAAACCTTCTTTTACAAAGAAAGAGTTAAGAAATTTCAATTTCTTATATTTCTCATATTTGAAATGGTCGAAAGTTACTCGCGCTGTTCGCTAAAATAAATCGCGGCCGTTATGCACCAATGCACAATGCGCATCGAAACTCGACGCTCCAGCCGACACTGGAAAAAACTAAGAAGGCTTCGACCGCCGTTGCGTCGCCCATTGTCAAGACGGAAAGAACGGCAGCTGCGATCGCGACAGCCATTTGGAAACTCGAGCTATTTATTCGTTCGCACCTTCACACCGCTCGCACTCCCCGAATCCGTGAAAACACCTTAAGCTTTTTCAGGCAGATAAATACCGAGGTTCTTTTTTTTGAATGGGTCGCGTGGAAACGAGACTGCACCAGTGTCCTTCTGAATCGAGGGACTCCCGCCAAGACAAACTTTTCTTTAGCGGAATAATATCTTAGAAATATCCTTTCAAAAATCTGGCCTTTAACTCTTCATTCATGCATAACTCTGAATCTCTTTTTCCACCCGGATGTACATGGAAACTACTTTTCTGTGTCAATTTATATAAAAAAAAGTTTTGTAAAGATTACTTAAGAGATGCTTTATAATCATACGCTACGGTGAACGTTGCTTTATGCTATACACAGTTCCATAGTATCGAGATGATTATTTTTTAATTCTTATTTTTGTAAGGAGAAATTGTCGAAAATTATTTAGTTAAATTAAATATTTTATACTTAAATGCTATTGTACTGAAACTGAAAGGTATATTTATTGATATACGGCATTTCGAAGGATAATATTTAACGTTTATTTTTTATTTACGGTACAATATTTATAACTTACTTTTGTCGCTTGTAATGTTATACGCGGATAATCGATACAGTTTAAGATTCATCGTGACGATACGAATACAAAGGTTACACGTCGTATAGCAGGAAGGTCTCACTCTTTGAGCGAGATGTTTTTCCATAGCTTACTTTCCCCGCTCGCGAAATCGATTTGACCGACACTATAAAGATAAAAACAAATTAAAAGTAACTATATCAGATCCTAGAGTAGAACCAGTCGTGGTCTTCTCATAATTAAAAAATCAACAAGAAAAACATTAGATATTTTTATATTTTTCGTAAATTAATTGATTTTTCGTAAACTTAAAATCGAATTGACAAAACATTTTTAAATATATCTATTAATAATAAATTAATAGATATATTTGATCCGAGAACGGGCGTCTCATTTTTTTGCGTAAACAGTGACCTCGGGCTATTTTTACACCCCAATTAAAAGTAGTTGTTATTAATTACATATTGCACATTTTGGATTGTTCTATAATTTATCAGTATTTGAGGACAATATGTATATAGATTTACTCAACATTTTCCGAAAAAAGTAAGGAGAAATAAAAGAAATATTTAAAAAACGAAAGAAAAAAAGGCACTATATAATTACTATGACGTGAGCTTCATTTTTTCAACACTGAGGCGTCTAAGTAGCTCCAGGTGCCCGTTCTCGGGTATAAAAGTATGCCCCAAAAAGATATGCGCTGCTCCAATGAGCCGAGTTACGCAAATCCAACTAACAATAAGAATCGTTGGTTTTTATTCAATAATTTGATCGCCGCCTGGTTCCCCAGGTTGGGCATAGGGTACATGACAATCTTATCACGGAAAGACCTACACAAAAAAATGTTCAATTAAAAAAAAATGAAGTTGCTTCAATTAAATGTTGACGTCACGGGCTGCCACAAATATAAATAGTTAATTCAATTAGATATTATTGAGTCAAATATTTAAATTATTAAAACAACTATCTGATGTTTTTTGTTTATTAATATTGATGTTGAATCAATAGATTTTATCTCAATTATACTGATGCTGTTGATACAGCATAATTTTTTTTCCGTGTATTGTTGCGAAAAACTTAACAAAAGAAAATCGAACAGCCCACACACAAATTTAATAATTTTCTTTTATTTAGCCTACACGAAGGGCTGAATGGAAGAAAATTATTAAATTAGGCTAAGGTTCGATTGTAGAAGTGCTCGAGTGTAGAAGAATATATTAAAAATTAATAATAAATATACATTTTAATATACATTTTAGTTTCACATTGAAGCAAGTGAAACCATTAAATTGATCGTCCAATTAACAGTAAAATTATAGTTAAATTAATACAGCAGATAATGATTAACCGGCAAAATGCGACGTCATGATCGCGAATAAACGAATAAAATTCATTATCTACTTATCTGCCCATAGAACGGACCGTTTTTATTCGCGTAACACGCGAATAAAAATTAAATAAAACTTTTTACAGGAAGAAAATTTTCGCGCTTTGCATTATCTTTTCATTGATATTAAATAGAAAGAAAGGAAAAAAATTAAAGTGAAAGTTGTTCTTACGTCGTTTCCACGAGATCGAACACTCACGACACAGCTCTTGTAATTCATATGATTCCATTTGTACTGCATCCTTCTCAAAGATTACGAGCCTCTAGCGTTCCTGGATGGAGAGACCGTAAGAAAGCGAATTCACGCGCGGAAATCGCGAAGAAACAAAGTTTTTGCTACACTATTTACACAGGGGCTATGTACAATTTATTCTCAACACGTCTCGGTCAAGACTAGTCAGCCGACGACACAGCGAAAGTCCTCCCGGTCTTCGTTGTCATCTATAACGACGTTACTGTCGTCAGTCGTCTCTCCGTCTCTCGAAGTAGTCCATTGGCCAGATTTAATTCTGCTGCTAGAGCGACGCTATATTGATTATATCTTGCCGTCAGGAAAATGCTTAATCTTTCTTAGACGATAAAATTCTTCCAGGTTGATCGTCTCGAACGGCAGATGTTGGATTAAGAATGTCTTCTATATAATAATTTTTTTATTAGATCGTTTGCCTAGGTACCTCCATTTTAGAAAGTATCGGTGTTCTCTTCTTTTTCACTTCTTCAAATTTCATTTAATTGATTCATGAGATTTTCATTCATCGCGCACTCAATCCACCGCGGAATCTTTTTCAAGAATTGCTAGAATTCTTCTGTATAGAAAAGAATCGAGGATATTCAAAAAGACTTCATAATTGATGATGATGATGATGATGATGATTGGTGCAAGTTTCGGCCAAATCAGTGATAGCCATTATGATGAGGAAATAGTCATTGTTGGAAAATTTGACAGAATCCAGGAATGTTTTTAGTTAATCGGCTTGATTTTTTAAGAAATAAATATTTTTCCTCAATGATTTTATCATACGTAACGTTCAACTTTCGTCTCGTTAAATCCACGGTCATCATGGTCACAGAGAGACACGTGGAAATTATCCTTCTTGAGGAATTACATCTCCTTCTTCTGATCATCGGAACCGCGACTGATAATATCCGGAAAAGTCTGCGTTTCCGTCGGGTACCGTCGTTTCGGTCCGTCGAGTCTGCGGTAGCCATCACAGCAACTGCTCCTCGAAGATAGATCAGAGCTACGCTCTATCGGGTCACAAGATGACCAACGGTCGTCGAAAAGAGGACTCGCTTCCCGATGCCGGTGACATTTGGTACGCGGGAGGGTACTGGCCCATCTGCGGAGCCAGCAAGCCGCCGGGTTGGACCGATCCGGGATAGTAAGCCGTCGGCAGAGGTGCGCCGGGGCTCGCGGCCGATGACGTTGACGTCGAACTCGCGCTGGACGAACCCTGCTCCGTCCTTTCGTGTTGCTTGCTCGTGTCTGGCGATTCCGCGGGCGGTGACCTTGCAGGCCCGCTACCGCCGACGATGCTGCCCGGGCTGGATTCCTCGTAAAGCTTGTTGGGCTCGTAGCTGGGTCGATTGTATTCGATAGTCGGTTTCTGATCCATGTACAACTTCGACTGCTCGAAGTACGCTTTCGCGTCCAAGTAGGTACGGTCCAGGCAGTAGGCCTTAGCATTGGATGAATCCAGGTACTTGGGATCTGGGTACATGCTCATTGCTAGAGTGCTGGGCGGCATATAGGCAGCGCGATACTTGTCAGCCTCCATAGAGTACTTCATGGCGTCCATCGAAACCTGTAACAGGAACAGGAAAACGTTTAGCGGTCCAAATACTGTTGTTGTTTTTTTCGATTTTTATATCTCGCAGCAATCAGACCGAATATATTTAATAATATATCTAATAAACGCAAATCGATTCGTCTCGTGTGCGAGTATAATAGAATTCTCCCCAAACGGTGTGTCACATATATTCGAAGATTTCAATAAAATTTAAAGCGCTCTGTTATTAGTTCTCGCCAATTCTTTGCTGGGTTCTGATATACGTCGGCTTTTGAAAAAAAATGGACAAAAAAAACGGGCCGAAAAACTTGACACTGTCGCAGACGAGCAAAAAGAGCAAGCGACAAATTCGAAAGTCAACGCATTCGATTCGGTCGGCGCGCGCAAATCGCGAAATCGGTGAATCCGCGGCGCGACCTGAGCCAGAGATTTGTTCTACGTCGAAGACAACGCTGCCAATGGCCATAAATTTCGTCACGTTGGGCCAAGCACGTTTGGACCAAGCTGCCGCGAGTTGAAGAGAGGGACCGGCTCGAAAGACTGGTGCTTAAAAAAAAAAAATAAAAGAAAAAATAAAAGAAACGAAAGGAGAGGCGGGAAACAGCGCGCATATTCCCGATTCTATAATTCGTGGACGAAAGAAGGACCGTGCGGGATCCTTTGTCGGATCGTTAAGCGGCTTTGTCCGGATGATTTACATCCAGTCTTAGTAATGCTAAGTCTCTCCCGCCCGCTACGACCAATTGATTACAGCTCAGCTTCTCTCACCTCGAAAACCTTACTCGCTGCGATCCGCGAATCGCGCAACAGCGCGGCGTCTAGAAATTAAAAAATTCTTTCTCGCCGCGCAACGTTGAAATATCCGCATTAAAAGTCTGCTCGATCGCGACGACTCCGATCGATATATATTTTATTAATTTTATGTTAGATGATTATTAGATGATTAATTCAACAAAAAAATTCTTGATATTTTTGAATCGATTATTCTACTCTAGAAAATTTATAAATTAATGTGGAATAACTTGGTCAATTTCTAAGTTTGAAGATTTGAGATAATTGAGCTATTTTTACACATGTATAATTAGAAATGTATAAGCTAAACGAGTAAAATGAATATTTCCTTATAATTATCTACCAAAATTATTTTTTTTAAATAGCTTATCAAGCCTTTCTCGATTTATTCGAAATAGAGTAAACTGATGTATGAAATAAGCTCGAATGTTCTAAGAAGTTAGTTATATGCATATATTTAAGCATATTGTGTAACTATGTCCAATTTTAGACTCATTACCTAATCGCCTGTATAATTATATATAATCATATATAATCATATAGGGTTATATATACTTCCAAGAATCTTATATGTATCCATACATGAGTGCATATATGATTTATTGTTCATATCTAGTTATATTTAGAATTATATATGCCCATATATAATAATATATGGACCTATATATAATTTTATATAAAGCGCCAAATTTCATATATAATTACATATAATCATATATAATAATTATATACACCTAATCTTTTTTTCCCGGGATATACAATTCTACATGTTTTTCATTTGTTCCTTCCGTCTGTCTTCGTAACGGTCGAGTCGTGATAGTTTATTCCGTTTTCATTCTGTGCCATTGTCTTGGGTGATTTTATAATCTACCAAAGTTTATCCAAATCATGCAATGTTCCTAAAATAGTTTATCAAACTTTCTCGATTTATTCGAAACAGGGTAAATTGTACGATATAAGCTTGAATGTTTTAAGATGATTATATAGATTAGACACAGTTATGCAATATGGATAACTGTGTCCAATTTTAGACTCATTCCTATATCGGTCTACATGTTTGTCATTTGTTTCTTCCGTCTGTCTTCGTCATGGTCGTGTTAGTTTACTCCGTCTTCATTCTACGCCGCCGTTCTGAGAGACTTAATTATCCAGCGCGATGTCACTGTTAAAAAGGACAATGACACCGTACACCGTTCGCCTCTGTTTTCGTTTACAAAAGACTGGCATTCTCCTTTCGCGCCATGTGTCGTCGAAGTCGTGAGCGAAAGAGAATGAGCGCACTTTATTTTCCAAATGGCCTCGGGGCGGTAGGGAGAGTACAGAGAGCGAGAAAGTCAACTCCCTCACATTACCGCATTGTGCCGTGGCCCTTGATATTTCAGTCGCTTCAACATTTTGTAAGACCTTGTCTTCCTGCAAAGAATTTATTTGTGAGATTATATTGATGAAATGCGATTTTATCATTCGATGTGATCATCGATGCGAGATTAATTTTTTAAATAGTTACACGGAAAAAAATGATTAGCTATTATAGCTAATATAGTCGTAATATATGGATAATTAACATTTTTTTTGCAGCGAGAACAAAATATTTTGCTACTATTGTTAAATTATAGCTCTCGCTGTAAAAAATGTTAGTTATATCCATATTTTACGACTAAATTTAGCTAATTTTTTTTCGTGTACTTTGATCAGTGATAAGAATCTATTTTAACATTATATTTTTTGCTGGTAATATGTATAATGTACGCTCTCTTTTTCTCGTTATTTCAGTAGCTGTAATGTAAACCTTAAAAAAAAATTTAGCTTTTATATTAGTCAAATCGAGCATGAGAAAGTTTAATTGGCTAACTGCTTTGTCCTTGATTTTGGGCTCTCAAGTTAGTCAAAGAACCGTGTTCATAGTTTTATTTTGCTTTAGCAATTGCTAAGCTTGTTCCTTCTTGGAAGGGCTCTAGCTGTAACCGATTCACAAGAAGTTGTCTTCTCTCTCTTTTTCTCTCTCTACTATGTTACATAATGTTAGAAAGCATTAATGAGAGAGAAGCTTTTTTTACAATAATTTCCAATTTCTTTTTCTCTTAAAATTTTGCGATTAGATCACTTTCGTGATGCTAATGCGAAGGGAGGGAGGAAGAGCTCGAACTCGGCCGGGCGAAGATAACGCTGGAATTCTTCGAGCGTGCCGCTCGCCGCCGATGTTCGCCAATAATGGTCGCTTGTATCGCGCCGGTGCCTCGTTCCAGACGCGTCGGCCATTCAGCCGTTGAATGCAGAAATAACTAGCTATCTGTTTGTCTCCCGTAGCCAGCTGCGGAAATTCATACACAGACTACGGTCTCCGGTTTCTGTTTGCGAAGCCACCCGGGGGCTCCTTTGTTGCAACAACGAATGAAACGTACCTACACTCATCCTCTCTCTCGCTACCTTCTCCGCGCTTCCACCCTCATCCTTCCACCTCCTTTCTGAATCGACTCTTCCTCTTGTGCGCGCGCGCGCGCGCAATTCTCTTTTTTTCCTCCTTTTGCTATATTTACGTGGCCGATGATCTGTCGCGTGGACTCGATACATTCACTTACGAATTGTCTTCGAGATAAATGTTTTTCTGATTATTGCAACTTTGCCGCGTTGGGCAAAATGTTGAATTAACATTTACTTTACTAAAATAACAACATCTATACATAAATATCTTGACTCTCTAATTTCTTTTTTAACGTCGGTTTTACAATCAGTCGTATGTCGGAGTCGGATGTCGGAACGTAGCCGATGATCCAATGAGGAAAAATCGAAAAAGAATTTCTCTCATTGGACCATCGGCTACGTTCCGATATCCGACTTCGACATACAACTGATTGTAGACCAGCCCTTACTGTTACACTATTAACTCCTTGATCCACACACAACTGTCAAAGTATGCCATGACAGTCGCTTATGAATTAAGAGCAGCGAAAGAACCAATTGGCATCGCGGAAAAGAGTCAACAATACACTTCGAGACTTTCGAGAGAACTTTGATACATTCGAGTATCGATTTAACATGCTTTTTTTGCTTCTTTATAGAGGAAGCTTCTGTTTTTGTCTTAAGAATCTATTATATTGTTGCGCCCGTGCTGAGACACCCGTTGCGTGCTGAACTTCGCTCACGAGTAGCTTCAAACCGAAGCACACGCCTTGACAATGGGTTGTAATATTGGGCGCGTTCAGCAGACACAACTGTTGAGTTCGTCTTAACACTCTGCGTTGATTGATTGGTTCTAAAAGTAAGAGCCAATCACGTTCGACTGCTATTGAGTGGCTTGGTCTGCTGAACGCGACCATTGTTTGCTTATAAACATCTCCCTAGAGATTCGTTCTGGAGCTTCCAAACCGTTCGGACTAGAGTTCCTCTAGTAAGAGTTAGGACACC